TGGTCATATGACCACTTAGTTTACATAATTAAAAAAGATCATGCCATCTACATAGCTTCTGATTTTACAACCCCTCATCCTTATTTAAAACATATAATTACCTTTTTTTTTCATGAAGGGTTGGAAAGTCAGAAGCTATGTAGATGGCATGATGTTTTTTAATTATGTAAACTAAGTAGTCATAAGACCATGGTTTTTTGTATTTATATGGTTGTACAATATTTGTTTTCACACTCCTGATGATAATGTGAGTTGATGTCGAAACATGTAGAATGCCTTTTAAGACCATTGATTGGTCTTAGAATAAATATTTTAATTGTGTACCAAACATTAATCATTTGAGTATTTTAATATATTTTTAATATTTACACAAGTCCTTCGAATTTTAACCTTTTAATAATCCACAAGTATTTTATAAGTGAGCCCATTACTTAACACAGAGCTTTATACCTCATTTTCAAGCTGCCATACAGTTTAACAATGTGCAATTGTGGGCTGTTTTTCAAATGTCTTATATTACTTCTCACAGTCAGGTTGTTCACTGACATTTTAACTCATTTTTAGATAACTTCCTACAGCCTTAGAAATGTACATATCAGGACTTTTTGCAGGCTGAGTCATGGCCTTGAGTGCTCTGTCAGTTCTTTCATTGTCAAGATAGTACTTCACTACATTTGTTGTATGCTTAGGATCATTATGCTGGTGGAAATTGAATCCCCTGCATGATGAGTTATGTTTCATAAGGAATGGTATGATGGATCTGAATCTGTATGTACTTGCCAGTATTCAGGGTGCCATTAGTTTTCTGTAATTCACCAAAACTGTCAGCTGAGAGTCAGCCCTAAAGTGTCTTGATCCCTTTTACACACACAATGTCTCACCATAGATGCTGTATGTTGACTATAATACCATCCTCCTCTCATAAGGATAAGAATTTTCCACCAAATGACTGATTTTAGGCTTTTTAATGTCATCCAGCATTGTTCATGAAATTAACAAAACTTCAGGGAGAGTAAAATTTTTAAAAAATGATTGGCTATTTCATCATTTCAATAACACACTTAAAAATAAAACATGTTGAAAGTTAAGCTTTTGCAAACAAGTGATGCTATATTTCAGCCCAGATACTTTTCTTATTAAAGTTTCGACAAATCAGAATCTAGCTAATACATTCTTCCCAATCTTACAAAATGGTGTGTTTGAAACACAAATTTTTCTCAGAAATAGTTTGTTGAAAAGTTGCACTTTAATCTAAAGAAGGGGTGAATTAAAATATGGCAAGGGTTATCAAGTGGCATGTTGAAGTGATGGCTAAAGATATTGATAGTTTGGCTTACAATGAGTCATGTGGGACTGGTTGGAGAAAGAACCAGCAGTTATGTTTGTTTTTGGAAGTAAACTACAAAAATTTAAGTCAAAACTGTTAAATTAATTAAAAAAGTTAATTCACCAGGAAAAGCTTTATGCATGATATGCAACAAACTGAGATATGGAACTACTAAAATTCACATAGAACTATCAAATAGCTAACCAAAGTTAGTTAGTCTGCTGTAAAATTTCAGGGCATCATATCTATCAAATGTATAAAAATAGACACCCAAAAGCTTCTCATTTTTGCATTGGATTCAAAATGTTTCAACTTCTTTTTTCCTTTGCCTTTTTTCATCCCTTGTCACATCATCAAACAAACTGTTGTTGATTGTTTTCAAATAATTCAAAATTGTATTCACCTATGGAGAACACATATCTCCAGCTTTGCTCATTTCACCACTGTTTGTGTTGTAGCTCGATGTCTGTTTCAGCTTCTTGGATTGGTTACTTCTTCTTGTTGATTTTCGAGAAGCTACACATCCATTGATACAACATGCTAAATGTGTATATTACTGTTTTTGAGGTAACATTTTCACTTGTATCTACAGCAAAGAAAGATCTGTACTCAATCATTATCTATCTGATAAAGACCATATCTGAGGTACTTAACATCACTTTGGAAGAGTTTTGGTTTCATACCTCGGTTATTTCTGTGATTAACAGTGCCAGTTTCATGAACTGTCTTCATAGTCTTGCATACAGCTTTTACTGAAACGTGGAATCTTGTGACAATTTTTCTCATGGAATATCCTTGACCAACTAAAACATCCACAAACTTGTCGTGCAGTATTTCAGTCCTGAGAGCCTTAATTGTATTCACACTACTACTGGACATAGTGTGACTTCATTTACTTCTATAGGCTTCACACTTGTTTGGCACTTTATTGTTTATTGGATAAGAAGCAGACTATCAACATGTGATTCAACTCTGGTGCAGTTTACTTCACACATTAAAGGTGTGGTATTTGATTTTTTTACCCTTTCTCCCCACTGTTTCCGTTATTATTTCCAATACCATACAGTCCAAATTTTTTTTTTTAAACACACAACATGATGATCTTAAAACAAGAAAGTAAATTACATATTATGAATAACAGATAGTATCATACTTGTTTTTTTTTTTTTTATCTGTAGTGTACTAACTGTGGCAAGGAGGCTCACTTCTATTGCTGTTGGAACACAAGTTACTGCACCTACTCCTGTCAACAAGCACACTGGCCAGTTCATGTCGACACCTGTACTCAGGCACATCAAGGTTATGTTACTTCTGTCCCTGTAACAAGTACGTAATTGTATATTGTAATGTATCACAGACACCCTGACCAGCAGACCTGTTTTCAGGTCCCACTTTGAGGTCTCCCAATATTCATCCTTTTCACCAGCTGTTAGTAACCTGCTGTTTCACCACAGGCATAGTGATCTATGAACATACATTTAGATCTCATATCAAACATATTTTGACCATTTTTCACATTCAAATATGTTATTTGTGTTTTACTTCTACAGGCACCATGATGTCAAAAACATCAGATCATTTTACACAACGTCTCCTGATTTTCGTTGCTGTTACCTGAATTGTATTCTGCAGAATGCATGACATTAAAACTGAAAATGATTTCTACATCAAGGTTTCCATTCTTTCTTCTTTATCTTCAGAGAGCATTGATATTTGGAATTAGTTACTAAATGGTTCATTAGAAGAAACTTAAATAGTATATTTTAGTTGCAAATGTCTTTTCATTTGTTGTTTGCAAAATACAACTCATAATAAGAGTAGCATGTTTGATATGTCCATATATAATTGTGTACTGTATAAATATACACTTTGGTAATTCATTCATAAGAAACTGTACAGTATACAAACTTGTACGTTGTATGCTTTCTTTTTCACCAAATAGTTATTACATACATTTTCTAAGGGATTTGTACAAGATGTGTGTTAAAATGCATTCTACTCAATTATAATACTAACAGTGAAATGTGTAGTTTCCCTTTCATCTTTTAGAATTGTTGTATTTATGTATTTGTTTTCTGTACTGTTTGAATAGAAAATACTGTAAAAATTATTTCCAACATTAAATCATCACTTAGAAGTTTTGCCTTGAGATATAAGTCATTTTATGCTTCATTTTGTAAACAGTGATTACATATTGGATTTGATGACTCAATACATAAGTGAACGGTGTTTGGTAACTAAAATTTACAGTAAATTTGAAAAGCGTTTAAATAAAATAGCTTTTACATTTCAATTGGAATAAAATATAAAACTTTTTTGTGTTAGCAAATTTCTTTCAAAATACAGTTATTCAACTGTTTATTTTAATGCAGAGTGAAAGAGACATTTTGTCTTTTCTTTTTGTCACTGCATGAGAAACAACTTTCAAACAATTAAGAAGTTATCATTATATTGATCAGTTTTAATATTTAAAATTGGCAGTCTTTAATATACCAGCACTGCCTGGTTATTAGCAGAATGGTATAGCACAGTTTTAATATGTAAAATTTGCAGTCTTTAATATACCAGCACTGCCTGGTATTAGCAGAACTGTATATCACAGTTTTAAAGATAGCAAGTTTTTGGCCATTTAAAGGTATTTCTATAAGTTTATTGCAAGAAAATTAATGAGTGGTGGTGGTGATCATGATTTTTTAACTTCTTGTCTTTAATATTTAACAAGTTTCAAATGTTAAGTTTTTAATGACAGTATAAATTTTTTGTATTAATACATACAGTAGGGAGTTTAAAGTTGTTTTTGTCAACTAGATAAAGCATTTTGTTGTTTATATATAATCTACTTGTAGTCTTAAATGCACTTGTTTTAAATTGTTTCTGGCATTTTGTTGTCTTAATTAAAAATATAAATTACAATGCATATATGTTTCCAAAACCTCAACAAAAGTACAGACATTATTTACATCAATTTTAAGCTTATCTGGTGAGAAAACTGATTAATATGTTAATGATCATTTTGTGAGCATTATTTTCTGCTCTATAATATTCATTACATTCATTTTAGTTTGCACATTTTGAAAATTTGCCATTAAGAGCAAAGCTACTCCTATGTACAAAATAAAGATACTACATTTTAACTGAATATTAGCTTGAATCATGTACACATATTCTGGCATTTTATCATCATAATTAAAAACAAGTTCTTAAATTAGAATACATACATTTGTTTCCAAAACATTAACAGAGTTACAGAAAATTTTTACATTAATTCTGAGTTTTGATGAGAAACATTGAAAATGTGTTGGTGATATTTTTGTAAGCATTACATTCTGCACTATAACATTCATTACATTTATTTTATTTTGCACATTTTAAAAGTTTATTATTAATAGCCGAGTTACTCCTAGTGTCATCATGAAGAATATGTACAAACTAAAAATGGTACATTTTAACTGATTGTTAGCTTAACTCATGTACACATGTAGTATTTTCTAATGTCTTTCATGTTTTTAGAGTAAAAGCACTTAGTATTTTGATGGACAGTTTGGCATTTAACATTTTATCTTGGATATCAATAAAAACAATGTCACATGCAACTGGAAATCTGATTAACAGAAATTTGTATATGCCTGCTGACAGGTGGAATATATTAATAGTCATTTTATTTTGGGTCATATCTGTACTTGAATTTCTTGTAAATAAAGTACATTGGTTCATCAAGCCAGATATAATGGAATTAACTTACTTGTAGTTTATCCAAATATAGATCTAATTGTATCTTATTACATTTTTCTAAAATCATAAATAATATTCAACGTTAAACTGGTACACAATTAAATACATTCCATTTAGGCCTATCTATGGCCTTCAAAAAGTTGACGACTCTACATGTTTTGACGTTACAACATCCTCCTGAGAACGACGTT